TTATTTCTTATATTGCAAACATTTGCACTGTTATCAGTATTTGCACTATTTTATATTATTTTTTGACAATCTTTAAAGTCATTATTCAACACATTGTTATTGTTAAATAAATATCGTCAAATAATCGAGATCTCAATTTCAGTGAAAATAATCGTGATTATCATTTTTGCCATAATCGAGCATGCTAACGGGGCCCCTGTTCTGCTCCGTGACTTCTTTGAGCTCAGCATAGCTGCAGCAGGTCTTCACCTGGTCACCCTCCGGCTGGCTCTGGAGCACCAGAGAAGAACAAGGATTGTGTCGAGTGACTCATTTACCTCATGTTTGTACAAAATTAAACACTATATCATAGCAAGCAAGCAAGCTAAGGTTAGCCAGCTAATCGCTATGTTGGCATCAAGCAATTTGTCTCTGTTAGCAGGTAAGCTAACAAGAAAGTCAGTTTTATTTAACTGGTCAAACTGGAATCCAGCTCTTGGTCAAAAACCCAACCAGAATTAGCGGTCATGAAAGCATTTTCATTTGGTTTTCTAGATAAAATCTTAAGTCTTTGCTCTAGCTATGGGAGATGTCTTCTTTTTCCATCTTCTTTTCCTAATTCTCCTCCACAAGTGTGCTTTTCCACCACAGCTCCACCTCGCCTTGCACTTCTACTATGGCAGCTACTTCCCCTCTTACACCTGTGCCTCCTCCTTTATCTGCACAGTGAGAGGGATGAGACTGCAGCTAGGAAGACTATACTCTGGGAAGGCTGATGGTCCAGATGGTGCTACCCAACTGTGTCAACCTCTAAGTCTATCAGAATCAGAATCAGAACACTTTATTAATCCAGAAGGAAATTATAGGTTACAGCAGGCAGCACGCTACCTTCTGACCAACTTTACACAAACATCACATTGGGGAGACATGTCAGAGAGGTAGGCTGATAGGAAAAAACAACGAAAATACATAACACGAGGTAAGAGGAGGAGAAAAAAAACTCCATTCAGACTGAGCTCCTAGTGGGAGTACAGTTTGAGAACAGAAAAAACACCCGGGCACAAAAAGCACATGACTGTCAATACACTACAGAAACACAAGACAAGCAACAGGGGCAGGTAAGGGTGAGAGAGAGCCGGTGTAGACAGCGCATCCGGTCCTGCAGCATGTCTGCGCTGGTCCAGTCGACCCGCCATCTGCCCCGGGAGGGAACAAGCATCGAAGGCGTTTGGAAAGGGAGGGGGATGAGTGTGTATCAGTGTATGTGTATGCGTATGCGTGTGTGTGTCCTGAGTTAGCTGATAGAGTGTCCTTCGCCCTGCCAGGCTAAGTAAACAGTCTTCCAGCTGACCCAGGTGGCCTTGCGTAGGGTAGGAAGGTACAGTCTAAACAAAGTCTGTTATCAGGGTGAGAATTTGTTATGTTCAGCTCCAGCCTTGAGACCACAGCTGGTGCCGAAATGGTAGCCGCATGAAATGATGGTGGTTTTTACTTTAGTGCGAACAACTCATGTAAAGTTGTTCTAGCAGTCCGACACTGGTCTCTCAATCTCCCGTTGGAGAGCCGTGAGCTTCTCCAAGATGTTATCCAATTTTCGCTCAGAGGTCTTATTCTGAGTGTTCACGGCAGCCTCAAGCTTCTCCAAGATCTTATCCGTGCTGCGCTCAATGAGCCCATTTTGAGAACTCACGACTCGTCCCATCGTTTCAATCCCAGCGGGCAGCCTTGTGGGGGTTTGAACAGCCGATTCCGCTTCCTTAATCTTCGATTAGCCAAGGC